CATATTTTCTGTCCTACAAAAAACACTGTGTGCTTAGTCAGTAACACATGGATGTACTATACAGTGGGCCAAAAAATATGGACAATTAATCTACACTTAAAAATATATGAATTTTACATGGTTCTATATTTTATTATCTAATGCAATGCTCTTTTTGGGACCGCTGTATGTTTAGTCTCATGTTGTGATCTGTTGATCAGTTTTTATGATTTGTAATAGGTAATGTACTGTATGTGTTTATAGCATTCCTTTTGTATTGTTATATGGTTGTATTGAAGTTTTAGGTTCGCTGTTCCTATGATATTTATTTGACTCGTTGCATTTTATTCACGCCGTCTTATATTCTCTCATGGGAAACCTGTATACCATTGGGACATTTACGTTTAAACCTATCTAAACATTACAGCAGGGGTTCTTTCCTAAAAGCTTATGCTTTTAGTATCCCAACATGCATACAACTTTGCAGACTCAACTCATATGTTCCAATAGCCAAAATTATTCAATATCATTTTAATAATTACAACCTGCACTTTAACACAGTGCACAATTAACTGCCTGAAATTTAAGTACAGCTAATAACTCTAATGCTTTTTCAGATGATGTCAGTTCACCCAAACCCCATTATTTCCTCACACATCATGCAGTCCTTGCAGACCATTGCTCTGTCTGCTGCTCATCACATAGGTATGTTTGAACGACCTCATAATGGCCAAATATGCTGTTCCCGTACAACTGATAAAGCACTAAAATTGACTGTTGTGTTATAGTTGAACACCAGAGCCAAAGTTTTAAAGTGTGGGTACCCTCTGTACGGGACATCACCCTGGTTTTCCTGAACATGGGGGCGTCATTTATCAGTCTGTTCCCTTTGGAGGCTCTGCAACCCCCTTTTACTGAGGGAGACCTTTTGTGAGTTTTTTACCTTTCAGTCTGCAGCATTATACTTCTGTACTAGTCATATGTCTTTGTCTTTCAGCATATGTCTTTCAGCTTCATAAAAATGCTCTGTTGGTATTTTAATGCATATGTATGTGTTGGCAGAGAGAGCTTTCAGCTGGAAGAAACCAGCCAAGACCGAGTGCTATCTGACATGAAAGACAATGCTACTTTACCAGTACATAATTTGGAGAGTGTTCTCAACGTAAGCTGAATATTTTAAGAATGATTTTGTCATGTATTGAGTAGTAGGTGATTTTTAATTTGTTTAACGATAATTTTGCTTTAAATGCAACCGTAAGTGTCAATCTAATTTGTGCCTGTATTTTTTTTAAAATATAAAAACAAGTCATGGAGAGGGACACATGACGTAACACAGGTTGAGCGTACACTGATGAGGAGCTGATGTTGCTTCTGGCGGTGGTGTGTAGAATTGGACTGGAGACTCATTTTCAGCTGCTACCAACTGGACACTTTAGCCTCCTGCTCCAGAATCTGCTCAAAAACATCACACACTGGGATGTACAGGTCAGAAAGAGGGTGTTCAATATTCATATTACCCAAAAATTAACATTCTGTCATCATTACTCGCCCTCATGCCATTCCAAACAATTATCATTTTTGGAGCCCAAAATTCAGTTATCATATAATGAGTGCGTTCTACTACTTTTTTGTTCCACTGCAGAAAGTTAAAACAGAAAAGAATTTATATTTTTAGGTGGACTACCCATTAAGCATTAGTTTATAATTTTCTCACATTTAACGCAACTTTCTCTCTTTTTTTTTTCTATATGTAGATATCTAAAGCTTGTCAAACCCTGACTGATTTGTCAGAAGATCATCACAACCTCAGGAGACTCGTTTATCTTCTGCCAGATAGCAGTTGTGGAAAGTAAGTGAAAACCTGTAATGCATGTGAAACAACATTTTTTTTTTTGTTTACTTTTAAATCCTTTCTGCAATTATTCATCTGCTATTTCTTCAACAGGCAATTAAAACAACACCTGAGTGTGTCTATCATCTCAAAGCTTTTGAATCACACCTGCACTTATAAACCCTCAGGGACAGAGTTTAAGGTGAGAATAATCCATAGAATATTAGCGGCTTTTCAATGTTCAGACAGTAGAGTTCTATAGATGCTTTATGGTTTGTGATGAGTGCAATTATGTAGGTGTATCATCCACTGACTACACTTGGCTGGCCAAGCTTTTGTCAAACCACTTACATTTTTGAAGATATGCGCTGTGAAGATAAAAATGTATCTTTGTTTCTATGGCTATTTTTACAGCTATCTGAGCTGAAACCTTTCTTACCTCAAATGCGTCCCTCATCCCTACTGAAAGGCCTCAGGTCTGCAAGGAGAGCAGAAGATTGTGATGACAATCTAGACCAACAAGTAAGCAGAACGTCGGCTGAGAGCTATTGTATCATTACGTTTTTAATATCCAAGAGTGATAAAGTGAAACCACTTAGAGTTTAATAAGCTGATAAATGATCTTCTTTCATACAGGCATATTACCTCTGCTACAGCCTTTTGACTTTGACAAATGAAGCCTCCAATTTTGAGTTTTTACCCTCGGCTCAGAGAGTAAGTGTCCAATTTCTGTTTTTATATTATTGTATAGTAAGGGAGGAAATCTTCACAATTTGATTATATTTCAGGGAGTGACAATCCAATTCCAAAACAGTTCTCAGCGTATCTTAATTTAATGGTCTGACGTATGCTTTTTCATTCAGTAGAATTATTGATGATGGACTTAGAAATCAGATTTTTGTGGCTCGATCCAGAAGAATCGAGATGCTCTGTGACTAGATTTTACAGTGCAGTCTTAAAGAAGCAGTGTCAATGAATCAGTCACAGAAAGACCCTGTCAGTGGACACAGCCCCACTCTGTCTTCTGGTACCACTCATACCCCAGGGACCAATTATGAACATAACTAATTTTACTCTCTCTCAAGAGAAAGCAGTAGTTGTGTGAATTGAATTGAGGGATGATTTTACTCACTAGAAGCGTGATGTTTTGGGGGAGGGGGGGGGGGGGGTTGGTT